ATTTGATAATTAAAGTTTATTTGGTTTAAATTTAAGAAAAATATAATAATTGTAATTGGTTAAAAGTTAAATATAAATAAATTGAGTGAATAGTTAATTACGTTTAAAAATATGTAATAAAGATTTATTTTCTATTTTAACATTGTGTTCATAAAATTGAGGAGAAAAAATAGGAACTAAGGAGCGCGATTAGATATAATTATCTTTTTTCTTAAAGAAAAATTAGCTCAAACAATAAAAGCAGCGAAACATAGTTTTGGGTGGAAAAAAGGAAAAAAAAAAAGAATTATTTTTCAGTTTCTAAATATGTATGAGGTATAATGTAATAATTAAATTTGATTTGATATAAAATAGTAAACTAATAGTAGTTGTTTATGATTGATAACTAAAAATATGTGAATGGATGAATAAAAAAAAATTATTGCAAAATATTAAATATTTTATTTAATTTATTCAATTGTAATGAAAGAATGAGAAAAAAAAATAGAAATAAATATATGAAAAGTAACTTTTTTTGGGAAAAATATTACGTCTTGTGATATTTTATAAGAAAAAAAAAATATATTCAACAAAATAAAAAAAAATAAATATAATTTGTATGCATGAGATTTTTTTCATAAATTCATACTGCTCAAATTATAAATTTTAGGAGATAGCAAACAAAAATTTATGAGTACAATTGAGTATGACCGTGAAGTTGAATGCTGACCAGACATTTTTTCCCTTAACCCGTTTAAGATAACAACAATATACCACCAGATCAGATTTACGTGTGCTTAACAAGGACTTATCAAGAAGACACGACACATCACTATAACGTGTCAAATGGCACCCAATATAATATAATTCAAAAAAATATCAACTTCGAGATGTGCATAAAAGATATTTAAATGTGCATTATTATTATAAACCACACAAATTTGAAACAATAATAATTTCCTGGGACATTCATATAAGTCTGCAGCATATAGCATATTCATTAGCAGATACACCACAGATGCACACAACGGCCAGCTCATTTCAATTTTTTCTGCGTATAAAAGAGGTGGTTTTGTAACATTATTTACTTTCAGATAATTTCTGCATATTTTTTCTGCCGATCTGTGCAAACTGAAGGCGCCCGGGCACCGCCTAGCACCTAGGCGGCCGCCTAGGCCGATTTTTAGAACAGAGCATTTTTGTTAGAAATATATGATGGGTCAATTAGGTCACACAGAAAACAGTGTTTACCAAATCATTACCAACTTGATACAACTCGCCAAATGCCAATACACATGTAAACCGCATAGGACAAAACTATGGGACAAAGTTCTAATGATAATTCGACTTTAACCTCAAATAAAACACCCTATGCCAGCTTCTGATTGGACAAATTTTTTTAATGCTTTCTAAATGACAATGTGAATAAAGTAGGTTACACAGAACTTGAGATGGGTTTGGTCCAATTTGGCCAATGGGGTTAGAGAAAGCCCTGCTGGACACCACTGATAATCTCACATGATCCAGATTAGAGATATGTTTTACAAGGTTTTAATTATTATTAAATAGCAGTGGGCTGAGGTTTTAGATAAGCTTTAAAATACACTCAAATCTGTAACAGTGGGCAGGGTTATCTTCCTGGAAGTGTAAAAACAATATACAATACAGGTATCTCTGTAAGGACTAAGGACAGACTGTAAAGCTGATACAGAGTAACAAATCCAACAAACAAAATCCAATTTTCTGTGTAATTACGAAAAAAAGAAAAGGAAATAAAAAATAGAAAGCAACCGAATAAATCACACGATCGTAAAAAAAAAATCGTCTCGAAATAAATTGAATCTATGTAAGTTCTATGAATGTTGCT